CCAGAAAACCAGCGAGGACGAGAGAACCGAGAGTGGGCGGTACCTGTTTTTGCTCGCTTACTCTCCTTTCCTTGCTCGCCAGGGACAAGGCGGATAAAACGCGCGAGTCTGTCGAAGGGATCCTTTACCTTCCTTCTTCTAGGATTCTGAGGCTGCGCGCTCGGTAATTTTAATGGGGGTCGTTCTCACGAAGCGAGTAAACTAAGTGTGGGTATTCCCTCGCTAATAGTAACTCTCAATTTTGTGCTCGTTAAAGAATTATTATTATTGATAATTACTCTCGGAGGATAACGCGGATCGTGCGGACGTCCGTTTACAACTATTCTTAATTCCGTACACACCTGAGACTTTTCCGATAGGTAATTCGCGAATAAAGTATCTAAATAAACGTTTAGAGAAATTTATTCCGAAAGGGTCTTGCCCCCTATTGGGAGTGCTGCACTCGGGGAATGCACTCTCTTGAGTAGGACGCTACTCGGTGAGACGCGGAGAGGATGCACGCGTACTTGCGTCTGTTTTGCATTTCGCGAGAGATCAATCGCGAGCGGTAGAAGGCTTTCAGCGGGGAAGATCCTCTTTGTGAGACGCGCATCCTTCTTTTTTTTTGCGGGAAAGGATTTGCCTCGCTTGAAACGTCTCGATATATATCTGAATTGTGCAATCGCCTTTTCACTTGTTCGCAGAAAGGAGAAGATAAAATATATAATTCGAAAGTGGCGTAATACAGCAGTAAAGTTTCAAGTAATTAATCGAAAATAATAAAAATTTGAAGAATTTTTATCTATGCTCTTAGCGTATTTGGATAACAATTTATTTTCTTATTAATTCGAAGTTTAGAAATCTAAATTGAAGCTTAATTAATTATCTCATGTTTTAAGTTGCGGAGGATAGTAATCTTGCATCACGTTTTCACAATCGAAGTAGATTTCTTCACTCTTAAATATCGCACATGACTTTTAGATGAGAAATGAATCGATAGTCTATATTTATCGTTACGTAAGAGCCACGCGAATCCAGTAAATCCCTTCTCCAAAAATATATGTTGCGATATCAACTGTAATGCAATTAGATTAAATAGATTAAAGACATTAGAAGCTGCGTGGCTCCGACTTCTCTATAGAAGATATTATAATGTCTTTGATCCGACCTCTGCCTCTACTTCGATTTACGCCACTTTCAAAAAATCGGGCGAATCTACCATGTGTCGTGACAATACGTGCCTTGTGCGTACGCGAGACTTCCCACGAGGGGTAGGATGATCCCGTACACCAAGATCATTCTCCACGAGTCGGCGGGACGACGCGGCGCGATCACATCGACAATCCAGCGAACCAGGAACCACCTCGGCACGCGAACATCCGCGGGGGCCCGCACAGGGAGCCTCTAGAAAACACTCGCGCACTACGAACTTTCACGAGAGCTGGGTTTCTTCCCTCCGTCTCGGATGAAACCAATGTCAAAACGCCGAGTAGAACAATCCGATGAGAACACCGTATTCCACCGAAGCCTAAACGCTCCTTAGATCCGGCTGATCCTTTCGTATACCTTCAACGCTGATCTTCTAAAACCTTTCGCACCATTGACATTCCCAGTGAGCGATCCCGCTAGTTCTTTGGCACTTCCCTGAACGATTTACGCACTCGTCAATTCCCGATCACAACCGAATACTATTCAATCTAGAATTATTTGGATGGTTAGACGCTCTGGCTAACCGCGGCATTGTCTAGCAATCGCTGTTTCTTCGGGATTCTCCATGACGCGTCCTGGTCCCTTGCACATCTCTGTCGACCCGCGTACGCAAGATTATATCCTCGGACTTGATGACACTCGATTAACGCGAACCTACGTGAATCGAATGAAAGATCCGCGATTACGACGGAACTAACTTGTCGGCATTTTACCCGCGATTTTGTTCGCCGTACAACGAGTCGGGATAACCGACGACGATCCGTTCCCTTCACCGGTCGACCGTCGAGTGCCCCGGGCCTCAGGCCCCCTTTGCTCTCTCGACGGCGATGAAAGTCTCTCGCGCCGAGCAGAGCCGACCAGCCGAGTCGAAGGAACAACTACGTTCAGCTGCTATGTTCTGCTGCTACGTTTTCATGTAGCATCAGCCTTAGCTAGTTCATTAGGCCTTTATGTTTATGTACATCTTTAGCCGCTTTAGTTACGTTACTCGTTAAATGCCACGAGAAGAGCACTGAATATTTTTTGACAAGGAGAAATTAATTTTTAATTTTTAATTGGATCGATGGTATTGTAAAAGAAGCATGAGTAATCTTTATATCAAGGGAAGACTGAAATAATAATATTATTTTTGTAACAATTACATACAGAAATAATTAATTTTGGTAATTTTTAAGCATGTGAGATTAAAACAAGAGGAAATTAGGATAAATTTTTTTTACAAAGATGATTCATAAAAAATCTGATAGAATTAGACAATTGACGTACATTCTAAGAATAATTGAGCAGTAAAGTTTCGATAATGCGAATGTTTATTTTAATTTTATAAAAAATGGTTTTTTAAAATTCGAAAGATTTCGTACAAATAAGAAATTCTTTCTCTATTATGAAGAGAATTACGGAATATAGTTTTGACTTACGCGACATCGCCGAGAACCGGTAGAGTTTCCCAAATTTCTTAAATTCTCTGTGCAAATCGATGCTAAATCCTATCTACGCTCCACTTATTCTTCGACAGGTTAGAAACATGAGACTCGGCTAAGTTCTGAACCAAAACCGGATTATAGACCGAAAAATCGTTATGACCGATCGACCCCCTTTTGAAGTTACGTTAAAAAGGACCGGTTCCATCGTGAATGATATCATGAGGGTGGACCGCTTTTTATTTGCGATCCGGTATAATTGCGGTTGGATCCGGTCACCGACAATAGCGTGACTTAGAATAGAAAATAAAGACTATTTTATCAGGGATAATCTTTGAAATATATTTTCTATTTTCTTACAAAAGAACTATACACATTTATATGTTACATAATAGATTTCCAAAAAAACTTTGTCGCATTTACAATTGTGAACAAGATTGTGAACCTATAAGGTGGAATTTTATCTAGAGTATAATAGCAATACATTATTAAAATAGTCTCAAAAACTTTGGCGGCTTTCAAATTCTTGGATGGAAATTTTTCCAAATTCCTATGGATCGAAATATTTCGCAAATCTGGTGTCCACAAGTATTATGATTCCTATTTTTATATTTAATCAGAACTTTTTTAAACGTATCAGGAACTCTAGAACTTTTTAGCCAACTTTATTAATTACATTCTGCGAAATTGAAGAATGGGGTGCTAGCTTCGTGGAGATCGGCTCAGGGAAAAAACACTGTCAGTCGTGGTCAGTGACGCGAAGTCGCCAGTAAGGTTACCGCGGCTTTACCGTTAAGAGTCCCCTCTCTGGGGGCCTTCGGCCCCCGGCCACTTCTCGGGCCCTCTCCTCCGACCCCTTGTAAATCCACCGCGATATTCCGCGCGATCGCGTTTCCATTCCGGTGTCTCCCGCTCCCGTCCTCGCTCGTTCGCCGTCTTTTTTTAATCATCTACCGACGTCAGCTTGGGCCCCTTTCACCTCCAGCGAGGCTTACCTCTTCTCCGTAGACTCGAGAAACGAAGGCACACACACAGATACGTGTCTCGATGTGTCGCACCTCTAGAATAAGAAATTGACGTAATTAAGAAACATGATAGTGTTCTAATTGTAAGATAGCGGTTGTTAATATCGATAGGATTCTAGAAAGCTGATTTTAACAAATTAAAAATCTTATTCCTATAATAAAACGTACAGATTATCTCAGATTTCTTGCTCTAATTGTCCAATTTATGTCTTTTTTTAAATTAATATATATATTTTTGTTTTTTTTGAAGAAGTGAAGTTGAACTCAATTTTTCGCTATGTAAATATTTTGACATGTACTTGAAATAATCATGATAAAAGGGAAATTTATATTCAAATAATGGAAGCACGGCTTTAACAAATTTCTGGCGAGTTAACGTCGAACATAAAGAAAATGCGCGAACTTTCCCCTTTCGACGGAGACTTCACTTTTTTTTTTAAAGCGGTAATTACGGACAAGTTGTTGAAGACACGAAACACGTATAACGGATTAACGAGTCGGAAAAGCCACGTCTGCTTTCCTTCCGTAAATTCTTCAGGTTGCCATATGTAATTATAATCACATATCCGCGTTTATAATTATAATTATATGTATCCTGTGCTTCTTCGTAATTACTACGAAATTGTCAGCTGAATGCATCGTGTCGAATATTCGTTGACATAATGTGACACGCGCAAATTATAAATAAAATTGTCAGAAATTTATTGATGTAAAACAAAGATTACTGAATTAGAAAAGTCAACGATTAGATTGAATTTATCGCTTTATTTAAAAATTATATATAATTATTTTTATCTATGTTTCATTTCCCTTATTGCAGTTTTCATAAAAACTTTGGTCGAATTCTTGCTTTTAATTTCTTCTGTGAAATGAATTGTGACCGTATATATAATATAATAAAAAAGAATAATTTTTATCGTTAAAAAGGAATAGGTATTGATATTATACAATGTCTTAACAATCTGGCAATATCGCATCACGCTTGCAATACAATAATTTATAGCGCAAAAATTAAAGTATAAAAATTCGATTATATTACAATTATAATTCAAAAACTGATTATATTACGAATTTAAAAAAGGGATAAGACTTCCGAGCATTATGCACTTAACGTATCGATGATTTGTTGGAAATTGCAAGAGAAAAAACGTTAATGCAGACTAATGTATTCCAGTTGTTAAAACAATCTTATCTTTCGATTCGCTCGCGCGATTCTTCGACAAGAGCGCGGTTGGTTGCGTCTGACGGGCTCGCAGCTCGGTCGTTCAAGTCCCAAGTATCGAATGGTCTCGTTCAAGTTCCAAATACCGAATGGCGTCATCTGACAGGATCTCGTAGTACTATCTTTCGTTAGGGTAGTGGAGCGATGACATGCGAGGTAAAGGCACACGCAAGTGCTCCGATGTCTCATATGGCGGATACCCGACGGGACGACGCCGGCGTCAATACGGAGAATCATGATTTTCCCACGGGACAATCGATAGCTCAATCCTTGGTTCGTTAATTCAATTAGGACGATGTGAGTACCGAGATTATTGTCGATCAAAGACGGTTCTCGTTTGTTTCAATTAGCGTCGCTCGTACGGCCTACTTTTTTCTTTCAGGAGAGATCTGCGTCGTGTCGGTGCATCATTTCTCAGCTTACCACGAGATTGTTGCTTCTAAAATATTCAGCACGATGAATCCGTCTAACCGTGTATCGTACCTCCTTTTTACGTGCTCAAAATGTTTGCGCGTGAGACAGCGATGAGGTCTATCGGGCAGCTGGTCTAAAAGAGTTCAGCTATGGCTGAAGGTGGAACGGAGCCAAAGTCTATTGACGGTCAGATCTCGAGGGGTCAGTTAGAGATAAACGAATGCCTCGGTAACTGGTTGACGTACTTACAGGTTGGTATTGCTTACGGTAGTACTACCGTTGTGCTGCCACATGTGTACAATAAAATTGTCTCCCGTACAGACACTTAATGGCCTATGTACAGCTGGTACTAAACTGGCCCAATCCCTGCAAGCGCTTCTCTCCGCGCACGATACGGTGGCGCAGTGCCGTCTGACAGGCCAATGTCTGGCTGGATGGGAAGAATTGGCGAGAGCTACCCACGTAGCCAGCAGTACGGTTAAAAATCATGTCATCACCGCTCTGAGAGATCATGAATCGCGCGACAATGACGGGGACAAGCATGTTAGTAATTTATATTCAATCAGATTCTCTTCGTCGTTAGACTATTGGCATGACTGATAGGGTACTTCCATTCTTTCAGGATATTCTCAGAGAAAATCTCTTGACATTCATAAACTTGCAATATCAATTCTGCATTGCTTGTTGCGAGTGCTTGGGTAAGCCTTTCTAGGGAGATATTCAAATAAGTGATATAGCATTAAAGTTACATTTAAAAATTGAAATTAAAGTAGGAAATTTAGTCAGTTAATGATTATATTTCGGTCCTGGTGAAATTAAGAGGGTTCTGTTTTCGCTGATTCATTTATTCAGGTGGCATGGCGGAATGCTCTTGTTCTCAGAGCGGTAGCGGCGATTGCGACATCGCCGCGCTTCAGCAATGTTTCGAGCGTCTTTACAGCTCGCCGGTACTACCAATTTCCTCCTCGTCCACCCAACAGTCCGTGCTGAATTGTCGGAGGTCCCCCTTGCCGTATTCGTTGTTCCCTCTGCAGGTAATTAACACATTTGCAAATACGACACGCGACACTCCCTGTCGCAAATAAGCGCGTCACGCTCGGCTTCGTGTATCAAGGTTCAGAGGAGATGGTCAGAAACGGCGGCGGCGGAAATGTCGGGCGAGTCCGCCGAGAGCACGATGAGGCGTTGGTCGATGCCCTGGGATTGCAAGCACGTTATCGAGTGGCCGCGCCAGGACGCGAGGTCGCGATTAAGGGTGCCTCAGCAGGATCGCAGTAGATCGACCACGCCTGACTCGATGTGGAAAACGTCGATGGCTAGTCAGGATGGTCTCCAAGAAGCCATTCAGCTATTGTCTTGCAAGCCAGGTAGCAAAACCTCAGTCCCTCGCGACAGTTTGCGATAACTTTGTTTTGTGCGTATCACGATTTTTACATAGCGAAAGGAAACTTCGCGAGAAATTGTTTTCCGCGAAATGTGGGTCAGAAATTGTAACTTAAACCCTAATTTCTTCGAAATTTAAGATTTGAAATAATTATCTGAAGATGAACGTTTGATTCCGAGTATCAGAGTACTCGATACTTTTGCAAGAACGACTTTCCTTTCCTTCGTAATTTCGTCTAATCTTCGCGTAAGATCGAAAGGGCACGTTTGGCGGGCTAAATATATAAATTATATAGCTATCCCGTTTTTGCGTTCTCGAATCTGACGATTCGAGGGTTGTTGTACGTTGTGCAGGAGTTCGGCCGTCCAATCAACTCTCGGCTTACACTAGTCAGCATATCCCGGGCGTCACTTTGACGACCTGCAATTTCGACTCGAATTACGACTCCGCTATTTGGTCGGGGTCGCGTAGGATAGGTTCACCTAGGTGCTGGCCGCAGGACTCCAGCGATCATTCGGATCAATCCGGGCATCGCGATAGCGATCACAGCGTTCACAGCGAACACAGGGACTCGGGTAAGGCTTTTCTCGTCGTCCTTTTAACACGATGATCGACGGTGTATCAATCCCTTCGCGATCCTTCACGTTGAGCCGCGTAAGGGATCGCCATGAGGATTGATACACCGTCGTAATATTGCTACAGAACAGAGCGGTGCCAGCGGCAGTCACGGCGATAGCAAGGACAGCATTCACTCCCATAGCGATCATAGAGAAACCGAAACCGGTGAGTGCGTCAATATCTCGTGGTCGTGATATCTCGTTTTATACCGCTGAAACATTTCGGGAGTGGCGTTAAGGCTTGACCGATATTCGTGCGTGATGATCTCAGATCGAATACGTTTTTTTGAAGGTACAACGGACACCCTGCCGTCTCGCAAGAGCAGCTCGTCGACCGACTCCTGCGTCTCGGCGCACAGTCGGTCAGGTTCGGAAAGCGCGGGTGGCGGGGTAAATAAATGAGATCAAGTTATTTTCTCACTGTTAGAGAGATAGAGAATGGGAGAGTGAGCGAGTGAGAGAGGGCAAGAGGGAGAGAAAGAAAAAGAGAATACAGTGTTAGTAAATCTAAGTTTATTAAAACTCGTGTCTTCCAAGACACCGGCATCCAGTGAATAAAAAAAGAAAAAGAAGATGTTCGTACACTGACATTTTCGCATCACAAACTTTCGGATTTCGCGATCCAGAATAACAGAATAAATTCTACGTATACATGTCCTATATACAAGAAATGTAAAAAAAAAAAATTAAATAAAATGGCTAAAAATGCAACGCTACAAGATGATACGCGTTAACGCATATAGGATGCATGCAGTTGAAAAGAAACAATGACGGCGTACGAATAACTTTTACTCGCTGCGGTTGCACTCTTCTATTTACACTCTTTCGTTATGTTACACAACGCTCTTTCGATGTTATTTAGAAACTAGTCTCTCGCCCTCCTCTCTTATTACAGCATAAACGTCGCTGATTTTAGGAGTGCACGAGGTCGCAATTGTACTCGATGTGGAGCGGCGGCGATCTGTCCTTCATCAAATTGCCGGAAAGTAACGAGATACAAGATGAACATCCACCCACTTAAATATCCGACACTTTTTGTTTTATATCCAAAATGTATCCGAAAAAAAATCTCATCCTTTGGATTACTGAACCGTGAAACGATATCTCTTTTTTAAGAGATATCTTGGAAGAAATATTCTCTTATCTTTGAAGAATGTGCTCTGCACATTGAGAAAATAAAAGAAATTCAAGAGATTTTTTTCTCTCGAAGCCATTTTTGACAAATAAAGCCTCGTACAAAAATGATTTTACTCTACGTTGTATTTTTTCACGAGGAATTTTCTTCTGTACTTCATGATTCACATGGTCCAGTGATCCAAAAATAAATCGTCGCCACGATGAAACTTGTTGACCCGTGAAATCACTTAGAGATGCGATCAATTTTATTTGTGATGTATACATGTTTGATATTTGTGATATGGCGCGAGTTAGTACGTGCATATTGAGTGTGCAACTAACGATAGAAAAATATATAAAGAACGTTATACAGGCTGTCCACTTCGTAATGTTTACGTGATAAATCACACGCGATGGAGTTCGTAGAAAATCACTATCGATGATTAATTTCTATTATTTAAGTATATTATGTATATACATAATTTTGGAAAAAACAATTAATCATTTACATGTTGAAACAAATGTCATGGAAAATATTAGAAAATGCACCGTTATAAATTTGAGTAATTTTTCAAAAAATTACAGATTAGTTACTTCGTACTTTGGTGGTTCTAGCGTTAAAAGTATATTTAAAGAATTGTTGTTAATCCAATAAGAGAGAGAGTATTACGAAGTGTAACTCCGTCTGCGTTTAAAATATGGACGTTCTGTATGTTGTTAAAACTCGTATATACAGATGTACGCATGATCCAATTGAGAAGTATCGTTTCGCTCATTTGGGGATTACTCTCGCTCGATACCAAAGCGCACGTGCACGTTATTCCCGCGCTCTGTCGCGTCGGTTAGCGCAAACTTCGAGAGTGTCTTTGCACGCATCTCGTTAGACATCACTCGATCGATCCCGAAGCATATCACATTCCACTCGAAGAAAAACGGCGCGTTTTACCCATACCCTAATCGCTAATGCGTGCATATCAACTGCCCTAGAGATACGCAGTGCTACCGCTCGTAAATTTTCGAACATTTCATCTCCCACATTACGTACATATTCAGTATGTCTGCGTATTACATAAACAAAAGTCTTAAATAAAATAGAATTATCGTTAATCTAGCTCTACGATTTTTATTTTAATCATTTTTAAAATATATTTTTGGGCATGTTAACTCGTCATTCTCCCTCTATGTGCCTTTTTTTACAAATATTAAAGTCTTTATATAAAATATTTGAATAAGGAGATGAGATTAAAATTTTCACTTACCATAAGACTTCGTTATACGGTAAGTGGAAAAACTGTTCCTGCAGGCATATAGCGTCGTTTTACAGAATGTCCGGAAATTTATCAGCGGTACTGTAATCCACAATAATCTTTCCCAGAAAAATGTTGAGAGAAATCTCGCGTGTGTAAAAGCAATCTCGATTTTCTAATCGAGAGCGATTTGTTGTATGTACAATTTTACTTATGGCACGGATGCGATAATAAAGGTTTTCAATGTTGTACGATTAACCTAGCGTTGCACAAGTGCATTCTTAGTAAAAAAAAAAAGAAACAAGAGGCTACATTTACAATATTGTATCGTTGCAGTCATATACAAAGACCAGGCCTCTCCAACAAGGTCGTGCTTGATCACGTTCGCGCTCGACAATACGTGGATTATTATATCACGTAATCGGCGCGACTTTGTGTCTTAAATTATAAAGTTCGTAAAAATCCCTCTTGAGAAAAAGGGCGACACTGAAAGTATTGTCACAATCGCGATCGA